AAGATCTCACAATGAGATCACCCGCTCTTGGCATGCTTTGATGGTTTCAAGGAGATACTGCGTGTCCGTTTGTTTCTCATCATTACATTGTTGATCTCGATGCCACCTCGACCTATTACTACTGCTCCGTTACCGCGATTCCCCTCTCGTGGTGCAATGTCGAGACGTTCGACATCCTATTTAGGGGCCGAAGTCACGTTCTGGAAACCAGGAGGTCCTGTCGTCAACTTAGGCAATCTGAATTCCTTCTCATATCCACGTCGCTAATAAATGCTGTACTGCTCTAATTACAATTGATTTGTGAGCTGATCGTTTAGGTGGCACCAAGGACTAATGAGCCTAGTGACACTGATCATTTAACTCCAGCGAGCCAATTGAGAAGAGACGCTAAGTCCTGAGCAGTACCCGACACCGCTTTCCCCTCCCTTACTTTTCTCTCTTCAACATCGCACAGCAACCAAGCGAGACAGGTCTACAGCGCTTCATGCATCGGAAGTGATCGCTGCGTTGCTGTCATTTTGCATGTACTTGGCGCCAAGTTTTCTAGTCTAGTGTCCTCGTCTGCCGACAGCAGTAGCCTGGCGATGGCTCTCTTCTCGACGTTGAAGGATGCTGAACCTGAAAGATCCGAACCACAAGAGTTCGCCTACGCTCTCCGATGCGTTCAATTTCTCGCAGGCTATGGATCTCAGCCGATCAGTTGCAAATTGAAGCCATCTGTATTGGGACAGATCCAGCACAAGTATGAGGCGTTGTCATACGCATGGGGCGACACCACGAAGAAAGTCGAGATTATTCTGGAAGGACAACCATTCAAGATCACCAAAAACCTCGAAACGGCTTTACGTCGCCTGCGGTTGGCAAAAGAAGATCGCTTGTTATGGATAGATGCAGTATGCATCAATCAACATGATCGCCCCGAAGTCAATCTGCAGGTCAAGAGGATGTGGTCAGTGTACAGATACGCTTCGAAGGTCATTGTTTTCCTAGGCGAGGGTACGACTGGTACTCATCACGCCGTCGATCTGATACAGGCTTTGGCGAGAGAGGGTAACCGGCTTGGCCATCGGCGCGTCACGTCTTTATTATTCACCAAAGATGCTCAGCCCACGAAAAAGGCTCTACAAGGGTTAATGAGCAGTCCATGGTGGAGCAGATCCTGGGTCATCCAAGAGTTCGCAGTTGCGACTGAGGTTGCCTTTGTCTGTGGTGACCTGGAGTGGTCCGGTGAATCCTTTTCCGAGGCACTGCGGACCCTGGTAGATGTCAGATTCAATGCAGCTCTACCGCGCGGACAGGAATACTTTATGAGGGAGATCGCATCGACACCAATAAGTCATCTGATGACGGCGCGCAAAGACTACCAAGATAGCCATTCGGAGGCGTCAAGGTCCAAAGGCGCCCCCAAACGAGACCCGCTCAGCCTTCTCTACAGGTTTCGGAGTTTCAAAGCTTCCGACCCTAGAGACAAGGTATACAGCTTGTTCCATCTAATCGGAGAGGTCTCGATGCTACAACCGGACTACAACCGCCCTGTCAAAGATCTCTTCATAGATGTAGTCAAAGCTTCCGTCGGCTCGTCGGGAACTCTCGAGGTTCTCTGCCATCACAACAGGACAAAACGTTGCATGCCCGACTTGCCGACTTGGTGTCCTGATTGGACCGTGCAACGAGGCCAAAGGATTCTCCTATGGCAGAACGACTATGCAGCTGGGGGTAACGGAAGCAAGCCTTCAGCTAAATTCGAAGGAGATGAGCTACTGTTGCAAGGTAAGGTCCTGGATAATATTGAGTGGGCGGTGTCTTTTGAGCCAAAGATGTTCAGGAAACCGGGGTTGGTCTTTGATCAGATTATGACAATCCAAGCCCAGGTGCTAGAACGGGCGTCTTTACTTCCGAGTGGAAGTCAGGGGGCTACTTCGTTGGTCGACTCGTTTCGAAGAACTTTGGTGGGATCCCGCGTCAGGATAAGAGGGCCGCGTCACGAGGCGACGGTTCTCGGTCAAGGTGAAGCTGACAAGTTCTGGGACGCCTGGTATGTTTTGATGACTGACCAAGAGTCATCGGGAATGCATGGAGCTGCGAAAGCCTATAATGACGCTTTATACAGCGCATTAGCTGGAAGAGTCTTCTTCATTTCTGAGAAGGGCCGCATGGGGCTGGCTGACAACCCGGCAAAGGCCGGCGATGTCGTTGGCATTTTTGCTGGTAGCCGTGTCCTCTTCTGCTTGCGGGAGAAGGCGGGAGGAAGGTCAAAGAGCGATGAAGATTCGAGACGCACTTATAGTCTGGTTGGTGAATGGCGAGTGCTCCCCTAATCTTTTATGAGAATCCCAACTGTCTGGCTACTTACTAACAGTGTTGAATGGTAGTTACTTGCAAGACTTCATGGAAGGCGAGGGCGCCTCTCCTGAAGAGACAATGTCACCAATTTGTCTGATTTGATCACGTATTATAAGTGATTCCTGAGTCCCCTCATTGTCCATGGTGGAGGGCTAGGTTTTGAACAAACCATGAGGTTCGGTTCACTAGCGGAACCCTCCAAAGCACACGTGGTTTACAGGAATGAAGAGAACGCAGTTGTTTCGGTGGCTACAGGAGGTCCAATGTGAGGTAGATAAGGGAGACCCCAATCTAAACAAAACAACAAAGACGATGATAGCGAAGAAAAGCGCGCTTCGAAGAATTAGCGAGGTGTCCTAGTCCGCTACTGGCATGCCAGAAATTATCAGATGGCCCCTTGCCTCTTCCGAAGAAGGCAATTCAATCGTCGGTGCAATGCCAAGCACCGAGGCCCCTTGTGATTGCGGCCCGGAGCTCAACCCCGCAAGAATGGATTCGACTACACTACGAATAGTCTAGTCTCAACAATGAATAGGTGGATGCAACAGGCCACGACTGTCCTAGGTAGGCCAGGGGCTAGGAACATAAAGTGTTGCTGGGGCATTCCACTCCCCACAAATAGTCGAGGGCCGTTCATGCGCCGGCAAGCTTCTCGCCTTGACTCCAGTCTTTTCCAGATCTGACCTTTCTCTTCATAGACGTTCCCAACCACGCCAGATATTCTTTCCATTAAATCCAGTCTCTCCATTTATCTCTACTCAAGCAGCAGTATCTCTGGGGAATTGTCGTTGTTGGCTTACACATAGCCCCCGAAACACCGATAAGAAAGAGATCGTGTCGTCATGACGTTAAGCGAAATCACCCCTGTCCCTGCACCATGGAAGCTCAAGGGCGACGTCTACTTCTTCAGCTTCTGGGTGCCCAGAAAGCAGGCAGAGCATCCTCCAACGATCACATACTCTCCACTCGAAGCGAACTCTTCATTTATTTGCCCAGATGGTAGCCGTCCCCTTGGAGGGATCAGCATGATCCAGTTCATTCGTTACACTGAAAGTCCAGTCGGTCCCTATGATGAACTGATCTTGAGTCCGGGATTTCACGAGTATACGATTGAGGAGAACGGCAAACGCATCAAAAAGAAGAATGCAAGAATCACCAGGATCTACGTTTCGCAGAAGTACACATGCTGGAATGGGCGAAAGAGTGAGTTTCCTCTGTCATTCACCACAACGCTACGCTAGTTGCTCACAAAGGAGGAAGATTGGAACATTCCTAAACATCTAGCAACCTTCGACTGGAAAACAAACTCCGACGGTAGCACTTCTGTGAGAGTCTTCCCTCACGACACATCCGGTGACATCGAAGAAACCGCGGCAAGCACCACACCTCTCTTCCAAGCCACGTTCAAGCCTATCCCATATGTGCCGTCGTTCCCCCTCTCTCTTGACATTTTGAAGTACGTTGGTGTGGATGCAACTCTTGTTCAGCCCCCATTGCCCCAGGGAAGTGGAAGTCAGGGGGAATTACCAGGGACCGATCGCTGGTGCAGCATTGCGCCAGGTCAAAGCTCAAAGAAGACGAGTCTAGGTTGGTTCGATATCCGACAAGCTGATGAAAAGGGTCACATTATCGGGGAACACGAGAACTTCTGGCCTATGCTTGGAAGGTGGCAAATTGGCATGAAGATGGAGGATTCAGTTGTTTCCTTTCCCGAACCTAAATATTGGGACGCACCCAAATCGGTCCTGTAACCAAGTATCGAGCCATTGAGACCGAAGGACCGGAGAAACTATTAAGCCAGCGCCTGTGTCGTATTAGTAGACCTCAAGGTGAAGTGCCATGGGTATTGTACATGTATACTTTATGTAGGACGCCAAGTAGCAAGGAGACCAATTCGGGATCTTTCGCGCTTGACGAAACCTGTCGACCCAGTCTAGATTGCTCCACCCACACCTCTGCAAGCCCACCAAGGGATGACAGTTCATCGACAGGGGAAAAGACGTCTGGCGGTTGTCTCACTGATTACGCGAGGCTTTCCAGCCAAATTGAGTTATCGTCTCTGCCGCCGTAACTCAAGCTCGTCTCAGTGTGAGTCCCCCACTGCCTCAAGTATATATCCTGACAAGTAGGTGACAACATAAGGTAGGATGCTGGCCAACAAAAGATTGTGTAATGCTCAAGTACCTGCTTATTGTTCTTTTGTATTACTTTTTAATTCTTCTTTTTGTTATCTTTACCATTTCTATTACAAGTCTTATTTCTTTTCCCCTTCTCATTTCTACTACTTTCATCTTATGTATATTCCTTCGTGAATGCTATTTAAAGAAGAATAGGAATAAGAATGATGATAGGAGAGCTAGGTAGAGCACTTGTAGACTAGCAATCGAATTTTGTCACCCACTCGTCTCCTAGTAGACACATGTTGGCGGCGGTCTGGCCATCTGAAACGGCTAGGCAATAGCATCACAGGGATTTCCACTGTAGTACTCTCGTATCAAAGTAGGAATTTCTCTATCTTAAGCCGGCGGCTCCATTTAAGGTAACCTTGTCAATAAATGTGTTCATCCAGGTATGGACCACTTAGTTTTGGGTTGTTTTGAACGGCCTAAAGAGCAAGAAGGACCCTTGAGTTGATATTCGATTGTGAGACACTTCCATTAGTCGTGAAGACTTGATTGTGGAAGTGAAAAGATAGGCGGAGAAGATGAAATGCGACGCTCGCTCACGAAGTACGTTATCTGTCCGTTGAATCTACCTAAAACGCATTCTGTCCTTCATCAACAACCCGTGATTTACTGCGTTTACGGCCTCCCCCTTCATCAAACCCTGCACACACGACTCACCCACCAAAAGCCAGCAGTCTCCCTCCTTACGCACACAGTACGGCACATCGCCGCCTGCAAGCACGACAACAGCATCTCCCTGCCGAATATTTGATGGACCAATGCCCATTCTCCCGTCTGCCGTAACCAAGAAGGCCCTATCGAAACCATAGTTGTGAACCAGGCTCTTGTAGTAGTCTGCAGCTCCACCGGATGATAAGTCCTGGAGTACGGAAAGAGCATTCGGATCCCCGCTCTGCTCTACGCACAAGGACGAAAGTGATATGTCGTTTAGCATAAGATGATGGACATAGGCTGCGCCGTCCGCGACAGACTGTTCCCAGTCCCGGCCGACAAAGGAATGCTGCTCGACTGTAGTTGCGCTAACAAACTGTCTCGTCCAGGCAGATATGGTCTCCCGTTTGAGTGTCTTCAGCGCCTCTGACAAGATGCGCGTCATCTGCTCTGTAAAAGGCTGCTCGGGTTCAACCTTGCGAGAAGGATTCACACCAAACGGCAAAGCTACCTCGACTGTGGTCACCCTGATACCCACGAGTGAGAGTACTCGCGGATCGCCTTCATGACGGATCTCAAGTTCAAGCCCAGACGCTGCAGAGAATTGTTCGAGAAAGCCGAGTCTGGCTGGCCTAGACTTGTCTCCGGCATGCACCCACGAGAGACTTGTAGCGATGCCCTCGTTGGGATTCTTGAAATCGCTCCAGTCCGGGCACCACGAGGGTATATCTAGACTCTCCTCCCGCTGTCTTCTGGTGATACTGCCATCGACACAACGTGCTCGGGTCAAGAACGCAAGCGAGCGGCTCTGTTGCAGCATGTATCGCCCAACCCTCAGGTATACATCCGTCACGTCAATCTGATAGTCTGGTCTCAGCTCGAGAGGCATAGTAGCCAGATCCTGACATTCGCGAGCAAGACCCATGAGTCCATAGATCTTGTCCCTCTGGTCGGTGGCGTTGAACTTGACCTGCGTGATTGAGACGAGCGCATCAAGGGGCCACAGCGTCTGCGCTCGCTGGAGATTAGCCATGGTGTCGATATTACGCAGCTGTTCGGGCACTTGAGACAGTCGCATGTAGCCATTTTTGCGCAGCCAAGCCGCCGCCCAGCCAAAGTGACTCCAGGGGAAATAATGCTCCCCGTGGAGGAAGATTGGATCCTGCGTCGACAGGGCGACCTCCTGAACGACCCAGATCCTAGAAAGCCACCGCCTCCTTACGAGGTTCTTAAGATGCGACCACCGAAAGTCTTCCCATGGCGGCAGGCCGGAGGCTTCGTGTGCAGAGGGTCGGTACATGCGGGTGGGTATGTCATTCGGCTCCGTTGCTCTGGGATTCTGTTGCCTGAAGATGTGGTGTATGCTGTCCAGCAGCTCCCACGCGCCGTAGCAGTCGCTGGAGTCGGGACCGAGCCAGATAAGTGTTCTGATGGCGCTGCGGTACAGCTGACCCATGAGGGAGACTTGAGCCGCGCGCTCGTCGAGATTTGACTGATCGATGCAGATGCTGTCGATCCAGATGTGAAGAACGGGAGGGTCGAGCTCGGAGTTGCTTCCTGCCAATTGCGAGAGCCTGTGAACGCAGGCGGCGAGATCAGCTCCGAGCGTGACGACTTGGCTGTTTATGAGGACGTCCCGGTAGCTGTGCTGGCTCGTCTAGCTGTGACTAAGGGCGTAATATGGAGGAGCCTCGCGCAGTTCCACTACTTCTAGATTTCCCACTTCATCTGAGTCGGGGTCTGGATTCAGTCGCAGAAGCCGAACTTGGTTGGTCTTGAGAGGGTTGTAGAGGCCGGCCTCTTTCGGGCCCTGGTGAGTGCTCATCTTCGGTTGTCACTAGAAAGATTTGAATAAAAGCAGCGGGTTGTGGCTCCCTTCCGTAATTTGTACGAAGTCCTGTGGAGGATGAAACTTGGGATGCAACCCTCGTCGCAATCAGCCTGGCCTGCCTATCCCCCGCCTTCTTGGAGAGGAACCTCACGTCATTCGTGGAACTGGATTAAGTGCATAGGCTTACAGGGTTTACATGTGGCGGCAACAGCCACATACGGCTACTACGAAGGGGCTCAGCACACAATACTCTTCACTACGCATATGTCCTTTTACTTATGAGGCGGAATTCGTACAAGTTGAAAAAGTTGGGAACCATTCTTGTGCATCCATGCTTGTATAGCGCGCTTAAGGCTGGCTCAGGAACTCCTCCGGATAGCCATCCCAAAAAAAAAAAAAAATAGGCAGAACCCATGAGACACATGGGGTTGTTACTAAGGCTCCTAATCTGGCTCCTACACAGTGATCCCGCCGATTCTCGCGAGGCAAGGTACCATTGCAGCACGCTCGGACGCAGGAAACGTGGGTGTTCATCTAAGCTTCTCATGTCTTACATGACGATATGGGCAGGAGTGGGACCCTGCTGCTTGGGACGGCCCGAAGCGAGTGCCAGCGGTTTGACTGACGCCAAACTATAAACACCTGGTCACCAGAGCCCGACATGAGTCAAGACGACCTCCCTGGCCTGCTGTATTCGCCGAGGAGCGTCCCTCATCCGCGTTCGAAGTTACATACGATTTAACATAAAACATGAAGATGGGGAACTCCAGTCTGGTTATCTGAGCTTGCATTATGAGCCGTCCCGGGTCGAACGGTTCTACTATACAACACAAACTACGAGAGACACAACACTGGAATTGCGGCGCTATGAGTTTTATGTGATCATTCTTTCGGCTCATACTTGACATTCACACTGAGTCAGAAGATCCTTCATGGTCACCAGTGTCACCGGTAACAATGGAGGATGTGGTCATGAATCGTAAATTTTACAGGATATCTAATGCGCCGAGCTCTCTACATGAATGGTGAAATCTATTGAACTCTAAGCTCTGACCCTCTCCTGTCCAACCTTGGCAGCAAGCTCCAAGCCCTCAGCGACGTCGTTCGGCTGGGACAGGAAGGGGGAGTGGGAGGCCTTAGAAGAGTAGGTGATGGCCGTAGGGCCGAGAAGAGTGGCCATACCCTGCTGGACGGCGAGGGGGATTGCCTTGTCCTCGTCGCAGAAAAAGAACATGGAGTCAATCTCGTGCCACGGCTCGTAGGTCACAACATCGTCGAAGACCTGGGCAGACTGGTGCTGCAGCTGCTCGATAGCCTTGGCGCGAGTCTCAGGCTCAACATCGTGGTAGAAAATCTCCTCGGGGGTCTGGGTGTAGACGTAGTTGCCCTGTGACAGTGTGAATATCGGAATGGCGAAATCGTTCAGCTTCATCTTACCTCAAACTTCATCCACGGGAGGAACTGGCCGCCAAGCATCTCTCTGATGCACTTGCCCTTGGGCACAACGAAGGCGGTAAGGTAGACGAAAGTAATGACACCACCCTTCTTACCCTCTTTGATGCGCTGCTTGTAGCCAAGACCCTCGACGGCATTGGCTCCGACAAGACCACCGTAGGAGTGCACAACGAGAACGATCTCCTTGCCCTCGTCGGCGAGTCTCTGGAGGACAGCTCTGACGGCATTGGCATCGTCTGTGAGGCCCTTGGTGGGGGGCTCAGCGCCGACAGAGGGGTACTCAACGGCCTCAACGGGGTAGCCGCGAGACTCGAGGAGTTGCTGAGCAGGCGAGTAGCAGGTCTCCTTGTGCCAGGCACCAGGTGCGAGGACGAAAGTGGGCTTGGTGGTAGACATGGTTGGTGGTGTGTGGGTTGTGTTGAAGAGTTAAGCGAGGATGGTGAGCTCGGCAGGGGAATTCCAGAAAAGTCAAAAGCTTGAATCATTGACTGGCAGAAGGAAGACGCTGCCATGCTATTAAATATGAGTGATATCTGATCATGGGAGCCGGCGCTCAACTCGCGTCTGCCCCTCGCCTCACCGCAATCCATCCTTTCCCCTCACCTTTGTAAAACGGCAACTTTACGGCCCCGGTGATATCCCTGAAAGACGCGCCTTTAGCACGCCTCTAGCTCCCTGGAAACCCAATCCGGAACTCGGGAAACCCTGGGAAGAGCCCACTAACGTACGGCAACTGCCACATCTCTCGCGAGAGCTACGGAGTTGCGTGCGGGTCGGGCGACTCATGAGCTTCATTGCGTCGCACTCAATGCGGAGCATTCTTCAGCGGCACTCCCCAACGAGGTCGCATTGTCCAGTAATGGGCCGAATTCAGATTGATAGGGGTCTTGTCAAGAGGTGCGTGCGCACGTCAAGAGGGGACCTCAAGGATACTGTTCCCGGACGACTATGCCGGTGACTTTTCTCTTCAGGTGTCCTTGACTGGGGTCACTTCCGATGATTCCCTTGCCAAGTTGATTTCTGCACCGATTTCTGACAACAGCGTCGCAGTAGGCGACCCTTGTGTCATTTTGCATGCTTTGTTTGGAATGTTTGACCCTCAGCCCACGTGTAAAACGAGAGGGTCTTCGGAAGCAGGGTATTGGTGGAGGGGTTGCTCGACGATCAATGACCTGGGTCAGTCTCTGTTGGGGTGACGTTGGGCAAAAGCTGTTCAATCCACCACTCCCCGAAAGCTGACATCGCCGCTACCTGCTACCTAGGTCGCCTGTACATAATGTCTCTTCACGAAATTACCCAGCTAGCTCACGTTGCGCTACCCGCTCTCGCAAAATCCGGGACGTTGGGAGCATTATTTCTGATAGGGGCTGTATAACCGGCCCATCGGAACAAATTCATGAGGGGGAGAGTACTCGGCGAGGCAGCAAATGCCATCAGGCTGCTGATACGTCGGAAACAACCTGCGCGCATCATCGGTCGTCATCAAGACAAAGAAAATTCGCCGCGGATATTGTCACTGCTGGTTTACTTGTGAATAGTGAGGATTGTTTTGAAAGTCATGAGCAAGATCCAGAAGTGGTCAGCATGGTCCGCCTCTCGTGTTGAAGAGGGCTGGCTGGGTTTTGCCGCCTCCATGCGGTCTTGATCCCAAACGGTTCATGCGGCTGTAACAAGAACGCATAGCTGAGCAGGTCCATTGAAGGCTGACATCTTCGAGGCGTCCGCATTCGGTCCGCCCTACTGCGATTAATTGGCACTGGTGCTGACGAGGCCATTTAGGAAGAAATAGGGCTGAGTGTGATGCAGGCCATCCTCAAAATGGTTAGATATTACCCAACGAAGTGGTCATTCGGGAGAGGATTCTCGTAGACAATGGCCAATAAACTTACTCCGCAAGGCGGAGTGAGACTGTTCCATTTCCTGCTTGGCAGAAAGGCGGGCGGGCGGAGACGTCAAGTCGCCGTAGATCTTGCTTTAGTTTTAGTCTGGCACATACACGGCCTTCATTGGCTTAACGTCTAAGCCGCGAAACCAAGTTTCCTGACCACATATAAAAGCCTTCACGGAGATCTCAAGCATCTGTACTACCTATTTAAGGAACCTACCAACACCTACTGAGCACCGTGAGTGCCAAACTAATGCTCGAGGCTTATGGGACATGATGCAGATGACCTGAAGCACATCTGGACTCAAACATGGCTCACGAATGTAGAACAACAACGGAGTTGTTCACAATGAGCGAAGAAGCACAGGCACTGACTTATTCATATGCCTCAAATTCAAGAGTGAGGCCGCAAGTCCGAAAGTCATGAGACGGTTAATGATTTCCATGACTAAATCTAAAAGAAACGGCAATGTTTGACGAGGGACCACGTCAAAGTAAGTCGTCGCATCTTAATCAAGAAACAGCTAGAAGTCCTACTCGCCTGAGGGAGTAAGCAAGTGAAAGTTCAAAGTTATTACCGACTCTGTCAACTTGTCAAGAGGGCTTCGTTTCAAAGATCATCTCAAAGACGAAATCAACTCAGCTCCTTCACGTAAACTTATCGCCAATGTCACAACTTATTTGACAGTAAAAATCTGGTTCATATTGTTCTCACCGATGAGAGTGCTTCATTTTACCAATCTGTTGGGAACAGTGTGTTTCGATATGAACACAACCATGAGTGCATATGCACGATCTTGTGAGGAAAGCCGCAGCAAAGCCTGACTGTCTCACTGTGTCACAGATTAAGGCGCTTCCATCCAACGATTGGCTCCAACAAGCGGCGTCAGCCTTCGATCTAGATTCAGCGAATTGGACTATGCCACATCCCGTCATGCGTCACGCTGATTCTTGGATCCATTGGGCTAGCGCCGCATACCGATTTCAGTTGAGTTCCAGGGTAAGCGGACATCGGTGAGACGATCCAGGCAGCCTCGTTTCTGCCTGAAGCTTCACGCGGCTTCATAAAGTACCTTGCCTCGCGAAACATCGCAAAAGACTCTTAAAGTCAAGGCTGGCCCCCAGTTTATTTTCTTCACCAGACTTTTACAGCTCAATTACGTTGTGAAAGCGATCATGAGTGAACTCTTTAGGCTCACCAAAGCCTCGCTTCTTACCAGCGCTACTGGCGCCACTGATGCAACGTCTCAAAAGTTATACCAAGGACTCAACGACTTCTTGGAACGTACTGCACCAGGATTCAAATTCTTTACAACTTGGCTTAAACTCGACATCACCACAATCATCCTCCTAATAACCTTGGGAGGAGAATTGCCAAGGGCTTTGACGGGCATTCAAAAGCTGGGAACTCAGATCTACTGGTGGATTACCCGCTTCTTCACGGCTTCCATCTCGATAGGGAGTAACGACAAACTCAACAGAGAGGTTCTCAACTGGCTAGGAGCGCACGTTCTCACCCGGCAAGGCACTCGTGTCCTAACAGCCCGAACTGAGGTGATCCAGAATGAGGCGTGGTATTATCGGAAGCCTATCGAGCGAGACGACCTCCATCACGAAAAGAGGGTACCAGTGCAATATTTGCCAACCTTTGGTA